ACACACACACACACACACATACACATACATGACCGCCCGCCGCCCCCCAAATGTCTACGCCTCGTGAACTGCGTGCGAGAGGAACCCCCCCCCCCCAAAAAAAGGTAAAAAAGAGAGAAAGAAGAAAAGCTAGGCATCATCATGAAAGATGAGTCAAATTTAGCCTTTTGTTTGTTTTTTTGTTTTTTTTTGCATGGGAAAACGAGTGATGTAGAAGGAGAAGTAGAAGTGAAGGAAAGTGAGAGAGAAGGAAAGTGAGAGAGAAGGAAAGTGAGAGAGAAGGAAAGTGAGAGAGAAGGAAAGTGAGAGAGAAGGAAAGTGAGAGAGAAGGAAAGTGAGAGAGAAAGAAAGACGGGAAAGAAAGAAAGACGGGAAAGGATAAGAGAGAGGGAGAAAGAGAGAGAAGGAGGGAGAAAAAAAAACAAAAGGCCGCATTATTGCGAGATGGAATTTTGCATGCAGAGCAAGAGAAGAAGAAGAAGAGAAGATGAGAGAGGAGAAGAGAAGAAGAGATCAAGATCAAGAACAAGAAGAAAAGAAAAGAAAAGTACATCAACACATATACCGCCGCAGCCTCGAGTTTCCTTCCAAAAACGTCTTGTTCTTTTTATAAGAGAGAAGAAGGAGAAGAAAAAGAAAAAGAAAAAGTAGAACAAAGACTCAATGCCACAGATGATACATGGAATGCATGAATCGTTAAAAAGTGCAAAGAGAAGTTTTCACCGACAAAACAACCATCAATCAACAAGCCGACCCCCCCCCCACCCCAAAAAAAACGACAACCAACCCAATCAACCAGATATACCAACACCCCCTACCCTCATCTGCCAGTGGGATGCACATGGTCGTGGGAAAGATGCGGAAGCGTAGACTCCCATAGTTCCCTCTGCTCTTGAAGCCCGTGCCTCGCCCGGTCGCCGCCCGCCTCTCCGGCATTGTGCCGTTGTTGTATGGTCTGCAGTAGCAGTGGTGCGCTAGGGCTTGTGTGTAGTAGCGTAGCAGCCTCGCGTTGGGTATTTGTCCAAGTGTTTGACCTGCCATGTCCGTATTTCCTAGGTGCAGCCATGGCACCATGGCCGCCTGGACTGCCCAGTTGTTTCAGTCCAGGTTTTCTGCGCACGCACCGTGGCCGTTGCGAAAGGCCTGGCTTCTCCACCCCATGTGCTTCCATGACTGGATTCGCAAACTCGGGAGTATCCTGCTCGTGTGGCCCCGCCGTACTTTTCATCACGAGCGCAGATGCAGCATACGAAATACCGCGAGTACCCTACACCCAAGCACAAGATTAGTAACTCTGCGGAGCGTAGTGTGCGGGCTGTAAGCCTTTGTTAGTAATGATATAGATACAATGGAGAGCTGATGGCAAAATCAGCAAGCTCAGTTGATACGTACTGGTGAGTTGAGCATGCTCTGGCGCTTGTTCCTGCTCTTCTTGATATGGCTCTTGAGCGCACTCGAGTCGAGGGGCTTGAGCAGCTCAAAACTGCAGAGAAGCTCTCCAGAGACCGACATGACTGCGCCCCAATTGTCGAATTCGCCGCAATACTGCATAGTGTTAGCAATGTCTGGGAAATCAAACAACTAGTCTTACATTTGGCGCCGAAAACACAGTCACCAATACTCGGTCGGTAAAGAATTCGTAGCCATCTTCCACCACCATGTGCGCTCTGCAGACCAGATCAAAGTCGTGGCGCGCGAGAAATTCCATAATGACTTTTTTGCCAAAGCAGTAACTAACGCCCCGTTCGTTGGACTCCCAATCGTTTTCCATGTCTGCCGGATCGCTCCACAACAGGTCGTTGAGCAGGCCGTAGTCTGGCACGTCGGTGGGTCGGGCAATCTGTCTGATATCGTCCATGTGCGACAAACTCGGGGATAAGCCGCCGTGTACGCAGAAAATCTTCTGGGCTACAATAGCTGCAATGGGCAGTGTATTGAAAGTATCGACAAAAGCCTTCCAGACCTTGATGTTGCACCGCCTCTTGCACTCGTCGTAGAAGCCGTATACGCGCGTGACGTTGGCGCACTCGTGGTTGCCGCGCAGGAGGAAGAAGTTCTCGGGGAACTTGAGCTTGTAGCAGAGGAGCAGGAGGATGGTTTCCAGGCTCTGCTTGCCGCGGTCGACGTAGTCGCCCAGGAACAGGTAGTTTGAGTTTGGCGGGAAGCCGCACATTTCAAACATGCGAATCAGGTCCGTATACTGTCCGTGGATGTCGCCGACAATCTTGACGGGCGGGGCGAGTTCCAGCAGGGCGGGCTGGCTGAGAAAGACTTCGCGGGCAGCTGAGCAAATGGCAAAGATTTCGGCATTCTTCAGGCTGACCGTCTTGGTCACCTTTCCGGCATAGGCAGCGTCGAGCAGGCGCTGGATCATGTCGTCGAGATCCATAGTCTTGAGCGCGCTAATCTCCATGGGCGAGCCCGAGCCGTCGGTCGTGGCAGGAGGCTCTGGCAGCCTGGGAATGGGCTGGTCTTTGCGCTGCAGGATTGACTCGCCCGGCTGGGCTGAAGCCAGAGGTTGTGCGGCGCCCGTGGGGGGCACGTCCGAGACGTGGTCGACTTCGCCGGTTCGCTGGGCCTTGGAGACGCCCTCGTGCCCCGTGCCGACGGTGGTGCCATGGACGGGCGAGGGCGGTGCCTGTGGCTCGTCTGCGTCCGACTCAGCCTTGTCTGGAGCGTCTGGGGCGCCGTCGGTGGCGGGGGAGCCAGCGGCTGGGGCTGGGGCGGGAGCGGAGGCTATGATAGAGTTTCGTCGCGAGCCGGCCTTGGACTTTGTCGAGGCGGCGTCCGTCTTGTCGGGCTTGCCGTTGACGTCGTTGAGGCCGGCGACCGAGTTGCGTGGGCTGTCTGATTTGCCGGTGCCGGGGATCTTGTTGCGCAGCGAGTTGCGCAGCGAGCGGGTCGAGTCTTTGGTGTCGGATCTCTCAAAAGAGCGGTAGTACTCGCGGCCCAGCGGCACGCCGTCGGAGCCGGCCTTGTCGCCCTTTTTGTCCTTGCTGCTCGACTGCTGGTTGCCCATGCTGGCGGGGGGGGGGGGGGGCGGGGCGAGGCTAAGCGAGCGTGTGTTTGGGAAGAGTGGGGGTTGGGCGTGGTGTGAGATGGGAGGCTGTTGTTGTTGTCGTCGTCGTCGTCGTCGTGGAGGCGGTGGGACCTTCTCACATGCACAGGGGGGGAAGCAGCGGCGGAGCAATCGGGAAGGCAAAGGGCCGATGCAGTGGCAGCAGGCGTCTCTGGCGCTCCCCAGCGCAAGGCAGGGCGTGTTAGGGCGGGCGGTAGAGGCGGGCGAGGAAGGCGAGGAAGCGGGCCTCCGCCGGCGCAGTCGTGATCAGCCGCGACGCAGCGTGCGGGCAGATGGGGCGGGGCGAGGCGACGGGGGAGCGATCGTCTTCCAGCGTGCGCGCCAGAGCGGTGGAGGGCGGCGGGGGGCGGGGGCGGCGGGCAGAGTATCGTGTGCGGGAGCGGGAGCGGTGGGAGAGAAGATGGTGTTGGGCGTGATGACGATGGCCGCAAGCGCTACGTAGGCAAAGCGGGGGGTGGCGAGATAGGCAGAGAGGCGATAGCTATCAGCCGCAAGTCGAGTCGTCTGGTAGTCTAGGCCCTTGCGAGTCGGTGAATGGCAGCCTTGGGTTGCCGTGTTAGCGGGCAGGCGACGGCAGGCTAGCAGCCGTGACGACGTAGCGATGCGCTATACGCCAAACAACGCCCGGCGGCGGCGGCGGCGAGAGGGGCGGCGAGATGGGGATGGGGGCAGAGAGAGCGAGGGGGCAGAGGGGGAGACGGGGGAGACGGGGGGAGACGGGGGGAGAGGGCCAGAGGGACAGAGGGACGGAGAGAATGCCCGTCTGTGTGTGTGCGAGTGTGCGAGGGCGTGTGCCGCAGAGACAGAGAGGCCAGCTTCCCGCCAAGATAACGGGCAAGCATGACAAGCCCCAGCATCCAGAGAGAGCCTCTGGGCATCCACCCCGGCCGCGCCTCTTACACCTGCACCTCGTCGTCCCCATCACCACCACCACCACCCCCATCATCATCATCTTCATCATCATCGTCAGCAGCAGCAGCAGCAGCAGCGGCAGCATCACCACCACCACCACCACCACCACCCCATCCTACACGCCCCCGCGGCCAGCGAAGCGCGCGCCACAGCCTCTCGCCTTCTTGTGTTCGCCCATCATTTGTGGAAACGAGGCCCTGAACGGTGCCGCCCAACCCCACGAACGACATCATGGGTCCACCACGGTCAGCAGTCAGTCTGCACGAGCCTCCCTAGCTGGCCGCGCGCGCAACTGTACTACGACGCATCCGTTCGCATGAGCCCAATGCGTGATAAAATCTTATGCCCCGACCACGACAGAAAATGTCGCTTTGGAGCCCAATGCCCGCCAGACACGACAGTCGCCGCTCGTCTTCATGCACACGCACGCCAAAGCCAACATGGCCTTCACCGACATTTGTATTCACAAGACGCCGCCTTTTTCCTCTCCTAGTACCCCGTCAAACGCCCAGGCCCTGGCGCCAAGGGCGGAACTCTTGGGTCTACCTACTGCCCGTCGACTAGCCGTCTCTCCCGCCCATGCACTACCACCACCACCACCACCACTACCCTGCCCTAGCACACGGGCCCTTACAGCTTGTTACCCAGGTTCACGTGGATGGCCTGCCACCCGTGTTAGCACTTGTCCCCATGCCATTGGCCCGCTAGCAATCGCCTTACCTTTTTGTTCGTGTACGCCTCCAGCCCAGCCTCGCCCAGCTCCCGCCCAATGCCGCTCTGCTTGACTCCTCCAAACGGCACCCGCAGGTCAGAGTCGTTGCTCGAGTTGATCCACACCATGCCCGCTTCAATGCGCCGCGCCACCCGGTGCGCCTTGGTAATGTTCTCGGTAAAGACTGCGGCGCCTAGTCCGTACGTCGTGTCGTTGGCACGTTCAATCGCCTCTTCTTCTTCCTTGAACGAGCTGATGACGACAAAGGGGCCAAACACCTCCTCGCGGTAAATCTTCATTGTGTCCTTGACGTTGGTGAAGACAGTGGGCGCTACAAAGAAGCCTTTGCCGCCTGCGTTCTTGTACGCCTCTCCACCGGCCACCAGAGTAGCGCCCTCGGACTTGCCGCTCTCAATGTAGGAAAGAACCCGCTCGAACTGGGCCTTGGTTACTTGTGGGCCCTGGTAAGTATCGTCCTTGAACGGGTCTCCAACCACTGACGTCGCCTTGAGATGCTGCTTGAAGGCCTCGACAAACGTGTCGTAGATGCTCTCATGCACAAGCACCCTCGACGTTGCCGTGCACACTTGGCCTTGGTTGTACCTGGGGGGGGGTCAGCTCAAAAACAGCAAAAGGAGAGACCCGCCTTACATGATACCCTGGTGCGTCCACTTGACTGCCTGCTCAAGGTCGGCATCTTCAAAAACCACCAGTGGCGACTTTCCTCCTGTTTCAAGCGTAATGTTCTTCATGTTGACGGCAGCCATTTTCATGATTTCTTTCCCCGTTGCTGTGGATCCAGTAAAGGCAATCTTGTCGACATCCATGTGCTGCGCCAGCGCAGCGCCCGCCTTCCTGCCCTCGCCATTGAGGAAATTGACCACACCGGGTGGGAAGCCGGCTTCCTTGATCAGGTATCCAAGATACAGCAGCGAAAGTGGAGTTTGCTCAGCAGCCTTCATCACCACCGTGTTGCCGGTGCAGAGTGCCGGCCCCAGCTTCCACGCTGCCATGGCCAAGGGAAAGTTCCATCTGCATCAGTCAGCATCTCAACACGCTACTCTCATCATGACGTACGGAATAATCTGCGCACAAACCCCCACTGGCTCCCGCACAACGTAGGCGAGCTTCAGAGGCGATGTGTCGACGACGGTGCCGTGAATCTTGTTGGCATATCCTGCGTAGTACTTGATGGTGCCGATGACTTCGCTCATGTCGTCGTTGAACGAGACCTGGTACGGCTTTCCATTGTCCCATGTCTCAATGGTAGCCAGCGTCTCCCTGTGCTCTTCGATCAACTGGGCGAATTTGTACAGCAAGTCAGCTCGAGCATTCGTGTCCATGTCCCGCCACTCGGGGCTCTTCAGTGCCTTGCGTGCTGCTGCTACTGCCAAATCAACATCCTCGGGACCTGCCGCATACACGGATGTAATTTCAGTCTCGTCGCTGACCAAGCTTAGCACAATGGACCAATTCTGTGACAGCAGGGCTTACCTTGGGTTTATCGATGTGATGGTTTCCCCCGACTTGGACTTGACAAACTCATTGTTGATGAAGAGACCCCTGGGCTGCTTGTACTTGCGGCCATTGGGTGCCGTCAGCTCGACAAAGAGATCAGACATGGTGTCGTGGCTGTGGTTTTGCAGGCTGCTGTAGAATTTCCAGGCTGGCCCAAGACTTGGTTTGGGAACTCTGTATACCGGCGCCTGGGCAGAAAGCAAAGTGCAAGAGCGACGTGGGGCTCTGGCCAATGCAGAGAGGAGATGCGACATCTCTCGGGCTGGCGAGGAGGTGGCGGGCTATCTATAGCGTTGCAGACACAGACATACAGTTTGACAGCCACTGACGATGGCGGGACATTCGGCATCCCGCGAACGGCAGCTGTGGACCCCGCCATCAAGCCGTGGCTAGCCCGCCGCATACAACTGCCTCTTTGGACCCCACCACTCCGCCCTTCAACACTACAGCAACCGGCTCCCCCCTCAGCCAGCACCATACCGCCAAGCACTACATGGCCAGCCATCCATCGGTTGCGTGTGCAGCGTCTATGTATGCTCCCAGACCTCGGTACCGCGACCGGTAGTGCTGCAGTGTCCGTGCATCCCCAGACTGAGACGGCAGTGTCACAGACAATGGCTGCCACATACGCCATGGCTTGGTGCGATGCTATGCGATAAGCCTCTTTACTAATATCTTTGTTAGCTAGAGAGATTTGCAGCCACAAGCCGTAGCTGGGGATGCAAAGGGCGGGGTACCATCGCATTATCTTCGCATTATCTATACCAGTCGAGCAAATGATAAGGCGTCTTGGACCATGCAGCTGCGGTTGAAAATTTTCTTTTTCTTCTTCTGAACTTGTTTTGCTTTTTTGGCTTTCTGATCAATTGAATGGGTCTAGAATGATCTCTTCAGTCGATTTCTTCAGTCAGTCGTCCGCCGCATGCATATGGAGTTTTCGTCTATCTCGCATGCACATGCAAGATCGCGGCGTGGCTGTCTATCCCAATTCTCTCAGGTACACATGCGTGGTATCCAAGGCTACGGTCGAAGCTTCTCACGACATTCTCTCTCTGGCTATCGCCTCAATTATAATCTTCATCATACACATGCCATGTATCGATCAACTGCAGTTCTCACTGCCGAAGACCATCGGGGTCGTATCGATAACGAGGTGCACCTCGGCCAATCACCTGTAGCTATACCGAAGCTCCGAAACATACCACTTATCTCGGGCACAATATTGATACCCAGATTCATCTACTTTCAAGGCTGTGCTAATGCAGATCCTATTAAGCACACATGGAAGTGCTTTCAGTCAATTCAGCAGCACTGGCTAGCCTTCGTCTTGACTGCGTTATCAGTGCTGGCTCGACAAGTCTGGTAAAACAAAAACTATTCCGTCCCTGCAGATATATTATCCTTTCCTCAAACTCGTATCATCTCTCTGCGTAAACGGGTATCCCTTGACACATCTATACCACGGCCACAACATTATTGAACCAGACACAAGGTTGCAATCAGCCCATGTGCATCCCAATCTCTGCAGATCGCTGCACCCCGCCTTCAACACCTCTGTCGCTCGACATCATAGCTGCTTCCAATTACCCAACCTGGTATTTCCGCGGGCCTATCTAGCCACCTCCATGCACACTCCGTCACGAAGCCAAATGAAGAGCAAGGGGGCGTCTGCGCGCGCAATTGGACACACAGCAACACAAGCTACCCCACCATGGCTGCCCCCCACCGCGTCATCGTGCAGATCTCCATTGTTTGCAAAAAAGAAAATCCATCGCACCACAAAAAAAATGTGAGAGAGCGCCCAGCAAACTACATTTACCGCCAACCCGCCCAGCCCGCAGCCAAGATCTGGGGAAAAAGTTAACCAAGCAAATTTACATTATTGTTATCATGTCAGCATCCGAGAACCGCACCGCCAAGAACCGCGTGCTCAAACTATCCCAGATTCTTCTTTCCAAACTCCACCGCCCAATCCGCATACCCCGCTACTACAACTGCAACCACACAGCTGATCCCCCCGCCGCTGCCACCGCACGCATCATGGATGACATGACGAGCGACCCGCCCGTAGTACCGCACCCCGACGCACAACACCCAGACGCCTCAATCGACGTCGCGCACTCGCTTTCATACTGGAACAGCGTGACGCCCGACGTCAACGGCATGCTCGGCGGTTTCCCGCAAACATCGCGTATAGACCTGCAAGGCTCCTCGAATTTCCTGGCTAAACTACGGCGCGGCGGAAAAGCTGCATCGAAAGACGCGTTGCCGCTACTCGGTCGCGTTGCGGATTGCGGTGCGGGCATCGGGCGCATCACGCGCGGGCTACTACTCGGCGTGAGCGAGCGCGTGGATATCGTAGAACCCGTGCAGAAGTTTACGGATGAGCTGGCGCAGAGCCTGGAGCAAGATGACGACAATAAGACGCAAGGCGCGCTCGGCGACATTATCAATCTCGGGCTGCAAGACTGGGTCCCGGAGCCTGCGTCGTACAACCTCATCTGGAACCAGTGGTGTCTGGGCCATCTGACCGACGCCCAGCTCGTCGTGTACTTGCAGCGCTGCAAGCAGGGCCTTGTCAAGCCCACAGCGACAACGGAGGGCGATGCAGCGACGCCCAGAAGCTCCTGGATCATCGTCAAAGAGAATCTCTCCACAGACTCCAAACACAGAGATATCTACGACGACGAGGACTCGAGCGTCACTCGCTCTGATGCGAAATTCCGCTGGCTGTTCCAGAAAGCAGGGCTCAGGATTGTCGCCACTGAGCTGCAGAAGGGTATGCCCAGGGAATTGTTTCCCGTGCGCATTTATGCGCTTGCGCCAGAGTGAGGGCACCCGTCTGGCTGTGTGCATCTGTCTGTCTGTCTGTCTATATAACCAGGGTTGGGAAGGGAGGGGAGTAGGAAATTTATGATACCCAAGACCATGTATAGTTATATATACATATATATATATATATGGAATTTTATTTGTAAAGAAAAAGCATAGAGCGTAGAGTATCCAACATCCATCTCCATTGCTTTCAAAATCTTGTCTTTTCCATTAAGTACTTGAGTTTCATAATCCTACATACTTGCAAGATTTCACACGTTGTATCGCGCGCTCGGCCCTGCTTTTCCTTTCCTTTTATATACCTAGACCTCTCCCGTCTCCATAAACTTGTGCACGACGCCCAGCGCAAGAACAGGCACGCCCAGCACGGGCTGGTGGGTCTGCAATTTGCCCACGACGGCTTTTTTCTTCTTCATCATTACCACGGGCTTGGCGGCATCAGCGTTTGCGCCGCTGCCATGCCGGCCCCCAGACGTATCCATTGCATCCTCGAATTCGTCGTCGTCGTCGTCGTCATCTTCATCTTCGTCATCGCCTTGCTCCTCGTCTTCGTCCTCTCCTTCGTCTTCATCCCCTTCGTTGGCGTCGTGCGCGTCTTCGGCGGGATAGCTGCCGGGATACGTGCGGCGCAGGTACTTGATGTCGAAGACTTCTTGGTGGGCGTGCTGCCACAGGTCCTTGATAGCGTCGGCTGAAAGCACGTTTTTGACGCGTTTGGTGGGTATGGCTTCCGAGTCTAGGCGCTCGGATTCCGGGACTTGGGCATCATCATCATCATCGTTGTCGTTGTCGTTGTCGTCGTCTTCGTTTTCTTTGTCGCCGTTTTCGGCTTCTTCTTCTGCTTCTTTTCCACCAATGTTGGCTTTGGTATCTTTGCCGTTTTCGGCTTTCTTCATGTCAATACCCCATTCCTCGGGGATGTACAGCCATTCGCCCGCCTTGCGCATCTTGTCTTCTACCCACGCCTCCTCCATGGGCTCCAGCCTCTTGCGCAGCAGCGTGCCCGCCATGCCCGCTGCCATGCCGCCGCCCGCATTCATGGGGAACGTGGGGTTCGGGAACGGGTGGAGGGCCAGCAGCTTATCCGAGTTTGTGGGCAGCGGCTGCGTGGCAATCAGACGGCGTCTGACGTCGCGCTCGACAAACACGTCGTTGCCGCCCACGTCGCGAATGCTATTTCCGGCTGCGTCCTTGGATGGAATCCGCTGTTTCTGCGTCACCAGCTTGTTCTGGTGCCGGAACCCCCCGTTGATCAGCACATGGATCGAGGTAATGTAGTTTGTCACCATGGTTGTCGCGCGCTGGATTTGCGGCCTGCCGTCGCGTCAGCTTTGCTTCGCGCCTTGATATCTCCTCGCATCTAGCAGAAGCCCATTTCCATGTCGCATAGCGATAATGCGATACCACCACCCCTTTGCCAGCGCTACAAACACATCGATCAATCATTCATTCATTCACGCCCACTTACCAATCCACAGCCTCCCCCCGACTCATCTTAAACTGCATTTCGCCCTGCAACCGATCCATCGTCTTAATCATCGGCATCAACTGGCTCCGCAACTGATCCAGCAGCCTGATATCATCCCGATCCGGGGCGCCCTGGAAGTTTGGATTCATCTCTGCCTCTTTGTTTGGCTTCTGTAGTACTCTTTCTTTCCCTGCTCTTGCTTGCTGGCTCTACTTTATTGGTTTTATTTATTCATTCATGCACACGCTTTCCAGGGCAGAGTGAGTATGACGAGTCTCTGGCGCAGGAACACAAAAAGTCACATGTAGACAAGGCCCGCGAGTCGAGTGCAGTGGTGGAGTGGAGGTAGTTAGTAGGTCCTGAGGGTGCTGGAAGCGGATTGGTGGGAGGGTCTGAGCTACATGCGCTTGTGAGGATTGGGGCTAGTGGTGCTTGGCGGACAAACTGGACGTCTGTGTAGTAACGCGTTTCTCTGTCGCACCATCAAGTCTGGAAGGCACCTAGATAAAACCATGATTGCAATATATGTATAGAAATTACAAACACTATTCATTCTTCATTATGCTCCATGGCAATGTCATCGTATCTACATATGGGTATTACATACTTCCACCAAAACCACACGCTCTTCCTCCATCACCAAGAGAGTGCTTACTTATTTCCCAGCCTATGTGTATATGTATCAACCCAGCCAAAGGGCAGAGGAATAAAAATTCGAAAAAAGGTATCGCCAGCTGGTCGTAGATAAGTTCCATAATGCATCAAGGCTTGCGCCGTTGTGTAGTATTTGGTGTAATGATGATGATGATGATGATGATGCCAGGTCGCCATGTTTGCTATGCAATGGGGGTGGTTCAGACTGAGTGAACGAGGGTATAAGATAACGAGAGAAAAAAAATCAATCAATCGCTTGAACGCAGCAGAACGCCAGTAAAAAAAAATACCCAAAAAAGACCAAACCCCATTATGAGTAATAGGAATGTTTAAAAAAAAAAGGTCTCCAGGACCTAAGAGAGGAGCGCAGCTCCAATGAAACGAAGGAAGGGATGGCTACACGCTGACAGTGCGTCGGACGCCCATCTCAGGCTTTTGCGCATAGCCAATGAGAAGCTTGAAGCTGGTGCCACGCTTCTCGCACTCGTGGATGAGGCTTTCGTCGCGCCAGATGCTGTTTTCGAACATGTCTCCAGAAAACGCGGCGCCGGGCTCTCCGGCCTCGGGTAGAACAAGCGATTCGTAGCAACGCGAGTACCACCAGCGACCAACGCGCGCTACCATATCGGTAATGTCGTTGTTGGCCGACTCTGATGAAGAATCGTTGAGGAGATCGGAAAAGGATATACCGGGAGTGGATCCTTTAGGCTGTGCCATGGTGTTGGTTGTCATGTTTGCGCTTTTCTTGGTAGGCATGCCCGTGATATCTTCGAGCCCAGGAAGCTGGCCGGCAACAGGCACACCCACAACGCAGCGGTTGCACTCGACAAAGCCTTTACGGCCAATGCCAGCCATGACCTCGTCGCTGATGTTGCGAAGTGAAATGTTCTCGTCGGCTACCTGCAACCTCATCTTCAAGCCGCGAACGGCACGGCGAGCTCGGTTGCCCATGTTGACGAGATCCATATCAAGCACGCTGAACTCAAGATAGCCACTAGGTCGCAAGACACGCTTGGCTTCAGAGAGGATGAAATGGTGTTCCGAGGAAGGAAGTGCAGTCGGAAATCGAAGCACCACGCACGCGAAGAAGTGCATGGGGAATGGGAAGGCCTTGCTCAGCGAGGGGTGACAGATGTGGCGGTGGTTACTGAGCGTCGACCAAGCCTCAGCCGCACCCTCGGACGGCGTGGAAGGGTCAGGTCCCATATCGTATACAGTCGCTTCAGGATAGGTCAATGCGCAGTAGTAAGACCAGTCTTTGCCGAGCCCATCAATGACCAGAACCCGGTCTTCTTTGGGGTCTTTGAGCTCAAAGTGAACCGGGCTAAACAGGACCCGACCGAATGACAGCCACTTGCTTGTCATGAGAGCGCCAAAGCGGAGATTGGCCATGGACAAAAGACCCTCAGTTTGATTCTCGGTGATGTTCTTCAACTGCGTGTCTCTGTACCGGCTCGCAGTTGCGCTGTCACGGTCCTTGCTCGACTTGGAGGCGATAGTCCCTCTCGACTGTCGTGCACTCTGCGGTAGGGAGGCTGGCAGGCTAGAGCGAGTGGAGCGTTTTGCAGTGGATCCAGTCGAAAGACGAGGGCTAGCAGGCAGGCTAAGTCTTCCGGTGACGGGATCGACGACACTAATCTTACGCTCACCGTAGTCTGAGATGAAATCCGAGAGAGACATGGAAGAGGCAGGAGACTGGTTGGAATGCAGCACAGCGAGCAGACGGGAGCGACGAAGATGCAGAGATGGGTACGAGGCATCGGTATCGTCGCCGTGATCGGACCCTGGCGCATTGACTGGCGCATTGGGTCTCAGGGGCATTGGCTCCAGAGACGGATGGCTGCGAAAGCTCTTCCTGTCCTCGGCAGTGCCGGAATCGACAGGCGAGAGAACTTCGTCGATCAAATCGTCATACTCATTCCAAAGCTCGTCTTCTGAAAGCGGTGCTCCGGGACTGGGTACTACGGCAGTGCTTGCAGCTGGGGCAAAACTCCAGATGCCCGAGCTACTCGAGTATGATACTTCGGAATCCTTGCGAGGTGGAAACTTGAAGAACTCGCTTCGGCGATTGGCCTCGTCCTCTTCGGGGCTCATAGTCACAATTGCCGATCCATGAGCAAGGGCGCTCAGTCCATGAAGGATAGGATACGGCTCAACCGGACCGACGGTTGCAACCATGGAGCCGATGGAATCAAACGACGTCCGCGGAAGAGCCGTTGGACGAGGCTGGGTTGGGACAAAAGGGCGGGAGAAGGATCGAGAAGACGGGCGACCCGGCTGGCGGCGACTGGAGACAACTTGAGGGATGCGGCCGACTTGAGGCAGGCGACTTGGTCGAGGTGGCGGGCTTACAGGTGGCGGGCCAGGCGAGGGGATATCTTGAGGTAGACCGTACATCTCTTGACTTGGCGCGAAGCTTGCTGGTTCAGGCTCAGGTTCATGCTCGGGCATTGGCGAAGTAAATGCGGCATTCTGCAACGGCGCAACCTCTTCGTCTTGCACCAGAGATGGCTGCCCGAAGAAAGACGAAGGTCGGGAGAGGTCCGTGACGGGAGTAAGGTCTGCCAGCGATTGACGCTCGGGATTGTAGGACGCGTGCACGTTGGTATCAATGGTCAGCTTGCTTCGCTGCTCTTCGGGCTGCTGGTTGGCCTCTGGGCGTAGGAAAACCTTGGGTGAGGCCGGGCGGGCCATTTGTCCAATGCTGGGCTCGAGAATTGGCATTGGTGGCAGCAGCATCGATTGCATTCGTTCCCTCCGCCCGGGCTCATCATCAGAGAGAGCGCTTTCGGTCCCTTCGTCGGCTTCGTGCATCAGCTGCTCAATGTCGTCCAGCCCAAGGCCCGACTGATCCAACAGTGCATAGTGTGCAACGGAGCGAGAGCCAACTGTCTTGTTGCTAGGGCTGGCTGCAGGCCCAGCTGGCGTGGCTGCACGTGGCCCTGCGTGGGCGCGCTGAAAGAAGTTCCACCTCTTGGATGGCTTCGGGGCCTCCTTCTCAGCCTTGTTCTTCTTCGATGATTTTAACCACATGCCCTCTCTGATCTCGGCTGCAGCTTCACTAATAGAGTTCTTGCGTGTCTTTGTTGGTGCGCGGTTGCCCGAAGCAGAGCCAGCAGGACCTTGTGCATTTTGCAACGCTCGTGATGTTCGCTTTGCCGTGTCGTCATCGCTTTCTGAAGGCCTTTGCAGCCCCATCGCCAGCTTCTTCATAGGAGATGCACTACGCATGTTATCGGGCATTGCAGAAGGCAACAGCACTGGTCGGTTCTTCTCCAATGCCGACTGCGACAGACTGCTCTCCTTCTTCGTTTCCACTGCCTGTTTCACAGATACATCGAGACTGCTGCTACTCTGCATCGGTTCTGGGCTACGCGAGAGCTCTGTGCTGCTTCCTGCACCACGAATGACTACGGGGGCAAGTCGGTTCAAGAAAAAGTCGTCCATCTCGCCACTTGTCGTGCTGGTCATGCTGCTTTTGCGGGTCGAAGGTGTCTTGTCCAGACTCTCAGAAGTAGTGCCCGCACTGACGGAACGTCCGATGCTATTGGCACTGAGCGAACTTCCACTTCGACCTCTGCCAGCGTAGCGTCCATAGCCTTCGTGGCCAGTACCTGCAGCCGGCCCTCTGCGGTGTAGTTTACCCTCTGACTTTTGGTGAACGGCGGGCTCAGTCTTTGTACGGCGGGTAAAAAAGCCAAATCTGGAGGTTTTATTCGGGCTGGGTGCTGGTGCTGGTCCACTGCTGACTCTTCGCGCGCTACGATCGGGCTGGAGATCTGGGGTTGTTCCACGCACTGCTGGTCGAGTGGCTGGCGGTACTGCTGATGAGGGGTTCGGCGAGGGAAGGCGTGACGATGGTTTTGTTGAAATGCTCATCTTGGATCTCGTAGTGGGTGGCGCCGTCTTGGACTCGGATGAAGCATTCCGCTTGTGGTAAGATGGGAAGTTGACCATGTTGCTCTGGATGACTGGCGACGGGCCTCGGAGTCCTGAGAGTTCCGGGGTACCGTCCCTGCTGGGCCTCGATGGCCGTCTCCCCGATGGCATTGTAACAGGTGATTGATTAGCAAGGTGAGCAAATTCTGGAGGAGCTTGGACTTGGGGCTTTTCGCTTGCACTTGGGATCACTTCGGATACTCGAGGACTCTGAGGGAGAGTGGCTAGTCCGTCAGGCGACGGCTTATCCGTGTGCTTCGCGCCTTCGGTGATGACGGTAGAGGCCGATGACGAGGATGTAGAAGACTCTCTGACAGTGAATAGTGCGTGAGGGTGGCGATTGTTGGATTCATCAGGAGTCTTGTGTCGGGTGACAGGGGGCCTGCTCTGTAAAGGACTGACCTGTCGTGTTCGATTCGAAGCCCTTGACAGCGTCGTCCCTGGTGAGTAAGATGACATGGAAGTAGGGGTTGACGAAACACTAAAAGGTCCGGGAGATTCTGAGTAACGCGTTGATGGGGTGGCGGAGAGTGCATATTGTGCAGCCGGGATACGGAGTACATCGGTGGGCCCAATCTCGCAATCGTACAGCGGATGGATGTACGGTTCGACCTGGTGCTCCGAACGGGCGAGGATGGTTGAAGATGGTGGTATTGAGATTCCTAGAACAGTCTCAGAGAATGGGTCCTTGTAGCCGCCAGGTATGCCCTCCATCAACTGTGCATCGTCTTGAGATGACATGGAGTCGTCCCTTATCCGCGTTGCCTGTCGACCACTTGCGCTTCCAACACTTGTTTGCTTTCTTCGTAGTACATTCGATCGAGGACTCTCAATAGTCGACGCCGAGGATCCTGACGCGAGCGAAGGGGTGCGTATACTTTGGGGGACCTCGAGCTTGGGAAGGCGAGATGTCGACGTCTGAGAGGTAGGTTTTGAGCTGGTGGCGTTCGGGTGTTGGGGGAACATAGGCGTGGAGCGGCTGGTAGTTCTTTGGCGTGAACTCAATGTAGAACCCGATCCTGCTTGGCTTATAGGGCCTCTATGTTGCGCCTCATCATCTCTTGAAGGCCTCCTCTTTTGCAACTTGGACTGAGTTGGGGCGGGTAACTGCGACGGGCCTGTGGTAGGAGTAACGGATCGTTGGGGTAGGCGAGTAGTGGTTGTTCGGTCCTCGACCCTCTTTGGTGGAGGGTATTGTGACTTATAGGAAGCCATTTTGGGTAGCCTCGTGTAGGACGGCTAGATGTACAACAGATGCTTGTGTGCGCCGAGTAACTCATGAAGGCATGTGCTTACCCCCCCTGTGTAAGACGCTCGGAACAAAAAAAAAGCAGGGCGTACGGTAACCAGAATGGCCGGTCCAAGAGCGTTAGCAGAAACGAGCTGGGAAGAAGCCTGCGAAGCCGATTGGTGATAGGTGCGGCTGATGGCGGGAGGACTAGAATAACCGGATGGGGGTGGCGACTCGGGAATTGTTACAAAGCCAGAGATTACAAGACGATGCATATAAGTCATGCGGCCAGGGCGGTACATGCAGTGCTGCGTCTGTGTGCAGACTTTGCGGTCAAGTTGGCAGACGGCTGTCCGTATGCCACATGTATCGGCAAGGCCGAAGATGTGCTGGTGGGTGTGGCGCAGTCGGCAAAGCCCGAGATGGGGCTGTGCAAGGGTTGCCGCAGTTGGGAACCGGACTGGGACTGGCAATGGCAACGGAAATGGACCACGTCGCGTACAAGGAACAAGGCGACAATGCCTGGGTGTTATAGGCATGCCCCAACGGCAACTCAGGCGCCCCCGTGTATTCTTGCCTCAGGGTTGTCCGTCCCAACGCGGGGCTTGAACCGAAAGTTGCCTCAGTGGGGCTCTTTGCGGACGAGCCGTGTGCTCGACGGAGGGCCAGTCCAGATGCTTTTTTTTCAGGTTGCCCTTGGCTATCCGGCAACGCAGGTAGTCCGGCAGGCCCAGCGACGCAGGCTGTTGGTTAGGAGAGGGCGTTGACAGGCGTTGCAGTTGCGGGGTGCGTAGGCTTGCATATGTACAACCTCGCGAGACGACGACGACGGCGACGCAGACGTCTTGTCGAGAGCCGACGCCGGCAGGCTTGCAATATTGGGCTGGAGCGGCACGGCGACATGGTGGTCTATGACGGGCGCTTGCGCTTGGACAGGCGGGTGGAGGCCTCTGGCTTGAAGACAGAGGGCAGCCAGTCGAGTTGCTGCATGGCCATGGTGGGCGACGATTCGCAGACAGACCTTGCCCGGCGCCAGCCAAGTCAAATGCCCAATTGGCCAGCAGCGCGCCCTCGCCCGACCATTACCCACCATCTTCATGCCGTTTCAAACCCTCAGCAACCCTTTCCACAAGCCTCGCCTTTTGCCCTCGCCTGTCAGGACTCGTCTCATGACAGGGCGGCCGACCCCAAGAGCTGAGGTCCCCGTCCTAGCCAGCGTCTCCCTGGGCCCCGCGTAGGGCCGCGACGTCACCCATTTGCCCAAATCCCCCTCTTCCAGCTTCAGATGCCCCCTTCAGCCCTTTGGCGGTGCGCGACGATACGCCCTCCAGCGTCCCGTCGAGCTCAAAACGGACCGACACGCTCACCCAGGACCTCGTATGCATCCACCTCGATCGGGCCAGACGACAGATTCGTTGAGAAGCCTTCATCGTCGAGGGTTGTCTGACTGTTCAATCAGGGCGTGCAGGGCCACAAGCCGCTTGCTTTCCCATGCAGAAAACAGTCATATGGCTCCTTGAGTGATTTTCGCGGCGGTTGCCCCATGGGTCTCGTCATTTGCGTTGCTATTCTCGTGACTCTTGCATGCTCTGACCAGGAGCCTGCGGGTTTGCTGCTTAGGAGGTGGCATTATGCCGTTGAGCCGGAGAGGCCGTCTTCCACCAGGCTGGTGTGGCTGAGTGCATCAACTCGGCTTAGCTGCAGGCGAATTCGAGGCTGAGCAGTCGATCGCCCCTCGCCACACTTGACAACGCATCAAAAGCCTGCGCAATTCACGACTCATCCCAAAATCTTGCAGTCTGTCGTCGTCGCCGTCGTCGTCGCTGTCGATGGCGAAAAAAATCCGGCCCTCACTCCCCTACGCTTGGAGTGAGGGGCGCCCTGTCGTGAGTGCGATCCACCGTCCAGGTCGCGCTTAAGCCACCACGCCTGCTGACCCCAGCTACGAACGCTCATTCGTGCTCTGGCAATGTGAAAAAAACGGCCGCCCGCAGAGCTATATGGTCATGTGATGGCGCCATACTGGAAAGGGATGGGTCTGGTGAAGGACGGCGGCCAATAAGAGACGGAATCTGCCTGTTGACGTTATCACTGCTCGCGGCTTGATACAGGGGTTCTCTTGTCTTCACCCATCAAGACCACCACCTGTGCGTGGCTGCGGTGCGGGTGATGAACGAGCTGATCCAAATAGGCTCGCTTCTTGAAAGCGATGCTGGAATGAGGCATCTGCATCATGCGAGGCGTTGTCCCTTTTCAACATTCAACAGAAGCCGGCCAATCCTCTAGCAATCGGGGCGATAGCAGTGCTGCATATGGCGTAAAGTTTTTAGCTCATGCTGATGATGTCTCATGTCTAGATCTGGTTGGAGCCGTCAGGGTGCCGGCCTTTGGGCCAAACTCTCTCGCTGTCGTCAACGGCCCATCTGCTCGAGATAGGATATATCTCACTGACCCGGTCAAGCTGCATACGACGACAAGAGGCCCACAGCGGGTCCATTGTGGTCCGCACAGGTTGGTGCTTGGGCTCTACCCGCTAGTCCAACGGAAAGGGGAGGAAAAGGGACGGCGGCACGGGACGACTGCTTCAGTGTCCACGAATCACTTGCTGTAAGCGCTCGATGGCCCTGCGAGGCCTGGTGGAGCTCGGCCCGCCGCAGTGCGAACGCAAACGAAGTTTTCACGAGGCTGTCGTGTGGAAATTATGACGAGCAGTCTAGCATGTCCTTGCAGTATGTCGGTCCGTTCTGGCTGTCAAACCCACTGCAGCGCCCACTGCAGCGCCAAAGGGTAGCAGGTGTGTGGGTGGGATAGTGGCAGCGCTTCCGGCTCTTCTCGTGTCCGTTCATCGGAGTTCATGCTCTTTAGAGACTACCCTGCAAATTGACTAAGCTTACTGCACGGGTATGTACGTCTGATCGGTGGGGTCCAGATGGGTTGACAAGAAACGCCAATAGTAGCGGGGGCGCCGCAGCGATGATTCATCGTGGTTAGGGTAATGATTTGCAGACCGACTGACGGCCATGAAGCCATGAAGACCCCATTAGCCAAATTGCTAGTGACGGCGATGGCAACGTACCATATTTTCTTGTTTTGCGTGCTCGAGCTAACTTAGCGGCCGACGAGCACAAAGCAAATGAGGTGACTGGCTTCCATTCCACCCATTCCCTTGCCTTTCATTCATTGGCTGGATCACTCCCTAGCTGGAGGCTTCAAGATTGAGAAGATCGGTACATTCGATAGACATCTCCGTTGCTGCATACTGTGGTGGCGATCGATAGTCAGGTAATAGTGTTATGAGCAACTCCTCCGTTCTAGACGTCAAGCACGTGGTTCTCAAAAGCTTTGCTCAGTATTGCAGTGACTGTGACAGCAAAAGGTTACACTTTGTCTGCAATCTCAGGTAATATCGTTGTATGGAGTGATGATTGAAACTCAATCACGGTGACTTTTTGCGGTTGTGCACCAGCAGCCTAAGAGTGGTCAGTTTGAAAGCAACACACGTGACCACGCGTCGTCTGAACAAAACACGCGTGCTTTGCACAAACTCGTCAGATCTCATCCACCATGGCGCAGCAACAGAAAGTCACCAAATACCAAGAGCGTGTATACACGGCGCTCCAACAGATTCCAGAAGGCCGGGTCACGACATATGGCGCCATAGCAAAGGCTTTGAACAGTTCTCCTCGAGCCGTGGGAGGCGCGCTACGCGCCAATCCTTTTTGTCCAGTAGTGCCTTGTCATCGCTGCATTGCTAGTACCGGGGTATGTGTTTCATGACTGATAATATGACGTTTGCGCTGACTGAAGCAGTTCGTCGGTGGCTTCAAGGGCGACTGGGAAAAGGCACCGAGCGGACAGAACCAGGAGTCCAAGCTGCAGCTGCTGAAAGAAGAGGGGGTACTGTTTGACCAGAACGGGTTTTTGATTGATAACGCTTTGCTCTGGGACGGTTTCAACACGGACAAGTTGAACTAATTGCTGTGTGTGGTTGAGGTACCTAGAGGGTAGGGCTCGCGAGGGTCGTCCAAGTGGGGCAAGCGGAAGCGGGGTGACGAAGTTTCGCATCAAAGGCCTCTCCAGAAACTGCGGCCGACAACTCGCAAGGTGCATCAGTCATATTTATAACAAGCAGGCGGGTGTCCAGCACGCAACTGTGCTTGCTGAGAAATCACATTCGAATGAGCTAGCGCAGATTCGCCACCTGCTTCCTATATTGATTGTCGCACACTCCGACACATCAAAACAGACATCGCTTTCTAGTCTCCCATCATCAACATGCCCCCTAAACGAAAGGACTTTCTGAAACCAAAGCCAAAGGGCAAACTAAAACCGCAAGAACCGCAGACTGAAAATGACTTTCTCGAAGCCGCAGACGACCACGAGCAGGCAGCGGGGAAATGGCGTGCTGGCGACGCAGCAAAGGCTGCTCGCTTCTTCAATAGAGCAATCGACATGTATAACGAGGGCCTCAAGCGCCATCCCCAATCATTCGACCTTGCGTACAACAAGTGAGTAAGCTGAGCATTCGGTGTGTAGCGTGCTAACCATGGCCAGAGCAAATCTGCAATACACCATCACAGAAGATGAACGTATCGTTTCTCAGTTTGGAAACAGGATTGCACTGTTGGAAGAAACACTGTCTTCTCACCGAGTTGCAGTCGCTCTGAACCCAGCCAACACCGACATTCTCTTCAACACCGCTCAGGTGCTCACTTCACTAGCAGAAGCTGGCCTGGAGACTATGACACAAGCAGCCGGAAAGCAAGATGCCCGACCGCTCCTAGAAGAGGCTGTAGATATCTTCACAAAATGCTTGGCTAGCCAGCAGCAAGAGTACGCACAGATACAGGCTGAAATTGCCAAAGTGCAGGCTTCCGGCGAATATCAGGAGGCCTGGGAAGGCGAACGACAGCAACAGCCAGAGGCTCAAGATGACGCAAAAACGGAGTCAAGTGATGCAGAAGCGCCAGGCGACTGGGCCACTGTCGAAGAGCCTCTAACACCAGAGTCGATTCTGGAAACATGCACTGCGCAGCTAAGTGCACTGACAACGTTAATCGGACTCTACAACCCCGCTCTGGATCTATCCAGTATAGAAAAGAAGGCGCAAGATGGTCTCGACACGGCTACAAGCAAGATACCCGCTCTGATCGATCTCATTGACAAGTCGCCTGCCCCTGTAGCACGCGAGGAGCCCAAGGCCGAAAAAACGCTGTCCATCAGCTCAACACCCGCAGCAGAAGAAGCCGCCACAACGCCGAAAGACGACGCCATACTTGCAGCAGCCAACTTCCAAGTCAGCATTGCAGAAGCCCAGTACCGCAGCGGACGGACAACGTCAACCGAGTACGCTGCAGCCGTCGAATCCACATTCAGCGCGTTGCTGCAAACAGCAGCACCAAGCCCCGACCTCGCCGCAATCAACAAGCAATCCGCATACGCAGACGCACTCATGGATCTCGCATCCGCGCTTGCCGACGGCACTCAATACACGGCTTCGGAACCCACATTTACCGCCGACGTGGAAATCCAATGGACGGCACTCACGCAAGCCCAGAATCTGCTTTCTACACTCTCGTCTGCACCATGTGCTGCGCTCCTTTCGGCGTCGCGCTTAGCCGATATCTTCATTGCGCGCGGTGACACGGATCTCTTCCGCTTCCGCATCTCGCTGCTCGACGCCGCGAAGCCGGCTTGGGCCAAGAGCGGGCCGACGCTCGTGGCGAATACAGGTGTCTTTTACCGCGGCGGCCGAAGCTATGCTGAGAAGGCTGGGGCTGAGCAGACCCGCAGTACGGCGGGCGCAAAGGCTGTTGTAGCGGAGATATTGAAAGAAGTCGCGAGTAGATCAGGGGTCATAAAAGACCACTGGAAGGCGAGCAGCCTGCCTGTCACGACGGTGTTGGAGCAGCTGGTGGAAGAGGGCATTGTCGGGCGAGAAAATGTCGACGGTGTGTTGGCCATGACGCGGTAGCAAGGTCGTGTACGCAGATGGATTACAAGAACGCGGGTTCTATAGTGGAGTACAAAATATTGCAGAGAAAAAAGATTCAATTCTCTAGGCTCTGCGGGTACAGACTATATATACTGCAACATAAAGTTAATCATCTCAAGTAGATGGTTGTATGGCGCTACGTGAAGTCGCGAAAGCAGGCTGTCTATTAAATAAGTTCTGTTTGCTCAATACTATTGCGCTTCGCAAACATGTATAGTATAAAAGATACTTACTCGTGTACAAAGTATAGAATGTAGTACCACACTACTATCTTCCATCACTACTCTAACACGTTATAAAATCCACTGTGCCAGCACTATGGAAATCACCTATAAAACAGGCAAAATAAATACACCTCCGCTACATCAGCACATCCATCCCACTCCTTCCACAAACGAACCTAATCATGAACAAATTCACCTCAATATCCTCCTCCTCCGACTCATTCCATTTCATTCACATGCACCCGCATATCCATATCCCCACACCACTCTTCCTCGCCTTGCAAAAGACATCCGATCCACTACTTAACAGAGCCAGCAGCAGCATCCTTGAAGCCATCAAAATAACCACAACAAAAAAACAGCGACAGCAACGAGGTACAGCAACGAGGTATACTCTAACGTGAACAACAATAAAAAAAAGAGAGAGATAAAACAAGAGCAGGACTAGTTACGGACAAGTAACCAGACTTATTCAATGCGTAAGTAATGTAAGAAAGAAAAAAAAGAATTTGAATATCAATCTCAACTTCAACCTCAACTTCATCTCAGACCGTATGTACAAGAAATTTATCCACAAGACACTAACAACGACAACCGTCCTTCGATCCACTTCACCTTCAACCCATTTACCCACAATTAATACCTTCCCCCCCCCTTTTTTTTTCTCTCTCGTCGCGAGTTCTCAATGCTTCATGAGCGCTCCGCTTTACATGTCCCCTGGCCGCTAATCTACTTACTTTGCTGTCGATACAACCGGTCAGATATATGAAGAAAGAGATGGATAATGCATGACTGAAAGTAACTTTTGGAAAAAAAAAGAGAGAGAGAGAGAGAGAGGGAAAAAAGAAAAAGAAAATAAAATAAAATAAAGCAAAGTAAAAGTAAAGCAAGGTTATGATTTTCTAGTGAATCGCGAAAGAGAGATGGTATCACTTCTGATAGAGATCGACAAACTCGAACAGGCTCCTATTACCTGCCGGGAAAGCAAGGTTATAAGGAAAAAAAACTAGCTCGATATTAGTAGCGGGAGAGTGAAATGCACATGTCGTCGTACTTGGGCGCTGTTCAAATATCCAAGGGTAGTTGGTTGGATTTACAAGCAGCTCATTTGTAAAATTTCAAGAGTAACAATTGACAAATGACAGGGAAGAGCATCTTTGACCAGGCGCAAATGGCCACGGTAAATCAGTACATATTGGTTGAAATGCAGCAGTGAAAAGCATGATTGCAATGGCCTGGACTTGCTAGTGTCCTAGTTTGTAATTCTAAGAGTGTAATCGTGCAAGATGCATAAACGTGCTACAACTCCAAGGCTTTCTCTATCCATACACGGGAGAGCAAGATGATTGCGCTCAAAAACACCCCTTTTTTGTTCAAGCGTACTGCGATTTACCAGTCCCCAGCTCAATCATCTCAACCCGGCAAGACGACGCTCCTGGACCTCGGAAAGGGCTCGGCTGCCACTCAAAAAGGCGACAGCGCTCACAACAGCGGCAGCGGGCAGCGTTTGGAAAAGGTTCCAGCTCGTGTAGTACAGGAAAAAGATGCCTTCCATGGCCAGTATGGAGCCGTAAAACAGTGCGTGTGACACAGGCGCGTTGCCCAGGGCCTTGCTCAAATGGCTCACGTTTGCGCCCAAGACAGCCCATGCGCCGAGCAGAACAGGCAGCATGGCAGCCACAGCAGCTGCGAACACCATGGTTATAGGCTTGGGTGGAGACTTGGGATCATCGCGGAAAATGTGGTGAATCTCTGGTGCGGCGGCGTAGCGGAGAGGCGCTTCGGGGGTGTTCAGAGGAACGGCGGGGTCGCGGGTGATGGCAAGGTCAAACACCCTGCGCTTGTAGGGCGTGGATGAACCAAAGGAGCCAATAACGATGGAAGCCGTGAGCGGCTTCTCAGCCTTGAGGAATTGATGGGGTAGGTCTTTGTGGGACTAGGAAGAGTCAGCCATGTTGGCAGTCATTGAAGAGCAATACATACCAGTTCGACCTTGGCTTTTCCGCTGTCCTTTACATTCAACACGTATGAGTCTTCCAGGCCGGTAGCCGGGTCCGTCAGAGTCAGGAATGCCTGGTGAGGTCGCTTCGCGGTGCTTCCCTCGACCGCGGTGAGGAGCAGCTTCAACGTGTCTGCGGCGCCTAGGGATACAGACTTTGCGAGAGGCTTGGTAGGGTTCAGTCTAGTAGGAGATTTGTCAGTCACAGGCTCCATTGGACAAATACAACACTGCAGCTTTGAGCTTACTTGTCCTTGGAACCTCCGCCTACACCAGCACCTTTGGTCGAGACGGAGACGGCGCCATCTTCGAAGCTCCACGAAGAAGCGGCAGATACAATTGCTGCGCTCGAAAGCAGCAGCGAGGAAACAAAGCTGTGGAGAACCCTCATTGTTGCGGATTTGGAAAGAGTGAACGCGGAGCTCTCTGTGTTGCGTGTAGACAGACGTAAGCGTGTCCTTTGCCAAGACTTGGATCGGCGTTTCGCGGCCCGCCGCCATCTCAACCGCGCCTTACGCCCTCAGCAAGCTTGACTGCAGCAAAAGCAGAGCAAGGGGCAAGTCAAGTCTTTAATTCTCGAACATCCATTGTGCATGTATTGTGGTCTGTGAATTTTCATACTGTCCAGGTACTCCAAAGCGGCACACCTCTGCACGGCACGGTAATATCAGCTGTTTCAAGCGCAACTCGGACATTCTTTCTCCATGGTGGCACATCATGAGATGCATGAATCATGACTATGTAGATTGTTTTCCTTTTGGAGTAATGGAGTACACTGCTCAACACAGCTTCCTGTACACATGCCCACCGACATATGGGATTTTCAGTCCACCTGACTTTGTGCACCGTGGCTTGCTTTGAATCTTGATTGGGAGTTGCGTATTTCGATTCATCCAGTAGATAGTACTCGTTTGCCGGGTCATGCTCGAAAGCCTGGATAAGCGAAAAGAATGCATGCAGTACCAAGCAGGATTGGTGTCGTATGCCTTGAAGGGATGTTCCTATGCATACCTCTTTTGTGGCGACCAAGGTTGGATGAACCTGGTTATTTCTAGGGTACAGCCATTCATATTGTTCCACCTTTCGGAGACCCAGTCTTCCTGCGGAGACCAGTTTCATAAAAACGCGGGGGATGTGGCACATATACACATTCCCATCCCCACAAGACATTACACGTTTACATGCAAAGAAGCGCTAGTAGAAGATAGACCCCCGTTTTAGCAAAACAAGGCCAACCGCTCTGCTGCCCTTCCAGCAATCACGTGCTCGATTCCACGAGTGATTTCGAAGTGCTCAAGCAAGGGATTCCCCATGGCAGCACAGTCCGCACTAGCGGACAGCAGTGAGGTACCTTACAAATACTTACATCATCAAAAAGATTTCTGCGGTAGAAGGATCAAAGGATTTGTCGACGGAGAAGAAAATAGACATCTTGGTATGATGGCATTCGGCACAGCAGACCGATTACGTGCGTAACCGAAGGAAGAAGGCATTCCGGCATGCGAATCCTCCAGAGCACGTAACCACAATAGGCAAGAAGAGCGCAAGAAGGAGTTCAACCACCACAAAAGCAAGGGCGGACGCCGCACCCCTGATCCCAGCCTCGTTGGAACCAAGAGGATACTTTGACCGGAGCCAAGGTAACATCGGCTCGTGTGTTTGTACACCGCTGGCATACCACTCGGATGTTGGACATCCATCCTTCTTATCTACCATATCCTATCATGGTGAGGGTAAGCGACCGGGCGGCTAGGCATATTCGTACCGTGTCTGCAATGCACGTTGCCGGACAATGTAAAGGGCGATCAAGGGTGCACGATACGACGCGGACAAGACTTCCGTTCTCAAACGGGGAATGGAAAACCCTCGCGGACTGCGGAATTTAAAAAAAAAATGAGGCCTACGCTAGTCGCGTACATCGGGCAAAGGGTTGCTCCACGGGGAAATGTTCTCCGCACTTTGAAACGCTCGGTAGCATTGTGACGAGAGGTTGTACGTAGTAGTTTTTTTTTTGAACCGTGCGCCTGATCACACCACCTGGAGGAATGCGACCACGACCACGACGCTGCATCTCTGGAAGGGCTTCCGGAAGAGGGAACAGGCCTTAACCGGCAAATCGGTAGCGAAGCATCTCCTTGCTCAAGGGTCTGTGGGGGAGATGACACGCTACGGCACAGTTCGCTTTCTTGGCCCAGCCAATAGTTCTAGAAATTATTCGCCGACAATGTGGCATGGAATTAACCTCAAATAATGCTGCTACCGACCCAGCAACATATGGCGCGAAAAGCACAGGCTTGGTTCACAGTGCATGGTCCTCGGGCGGAGTGCATGGTATCAGTATTCTCGCCAAAGTAGCGTGCATGCTATGTAGCCATGATTGGAGGCGGAAACAATATCCGTATGGAAATAAGCATAAGCACAAAAGGACCAGACTGACGGTATCATTACAAGGCGAGAGACATGGTTTCGTGGAGCCCAACGGTGCATGGTGCAGGGTGCATGCTTCACGGGAGAAGCACCCGCTTGCAGCTACATGCCGTAGATGCTGCGCTCCGGACAAGAGCTAGGGTGGAATAAGTTATTGTATCTAGCGTGAAGATGGTCAGCCATCAAATACCGAGGAGGAAAAGGGGGGAGGGGGTGAGAGGGGAGGTGGCTAGAGGTGGCGCTTTGTCTCATCCATCTAAACCATGACTATGAGACGAAGCTGAGTTGAGTGAAAACTTTGTTTAGAAATTTGGCTTAAAAAGTGGCTAATGTGTTGATAAGGACTTCTCGTAGACGCTTGACCATGGGCATTTGCAATAGCCATGGCCAACGATTTGATAAGCGACTTTGGATTCCCTCCACCCACCTGACCTTGCCCCTCCACACGTGAGAGCCGTTAACCGCGTATTGCGTCGGTCTGTCGCAATGTGCTTTGGACACGTACCGCCACTAATTCATACGCGATGACAGTTGAGAGGCGGTTGCATAACATGTCTAGTGTCAGCTGCCATGCCAATGACATGTGCCCGCAAGGCAGGACAAGGGATCTGATAGCGCATCTCCGTCCGGCGCCCCGTATGTTGTATTATGGGATTGCGGCAAGTGAAGACGAAACACAAACGAGACAAAGCACCGCATGAGTATTTAGAATTGTGGGAAAAACTTTGTGCGCAAAAGTTTCACGAAGTTGTCGACGACGCAGTGAGTTTGCCGCCTGGAGGTGCTTGCATGAAAATCGAGGTTGGCAGTGGTGAGGCGGGATCGACGCTGGGCCGGGGCTGATGGAGATCGACCGCAACGGCCGGCCTGAGCACAGCATTGCGGGCTGCGCCTGATACGCCATAGTGTTTGTTCGGAGTGATCCGCTAGTATCGATCAATGGCTCTGCATATGCGGGCGAACAGGCGGTAATATGTTAGGGTTAGGGCGTGATAGTGCCGTCCACGGTCCAAGGCCTGGAACATTTGGTGGCCAGTCTGAAACGGAGTCAGAAGCTTTGACCCGGTAAACCGTGACATTCGCCCGTCACACTTCACCGGGTGGTGCATCTTCCTTGACAAGGAGCGGTCAGTCGCCATGTCTACACTTGCAGTGCGGTGTAGGTATAACCAAAACTGGCGACGACAGCATATCTACAACACTCGCCAAGTGCCGACGCGACCAGGACCAGGACCCCATGTCAAGTGTTTGATGCAACAAAATTAGGCTGACATTGTAAACACTTGTCTCTCTGGTGGATACATGTATGGTACGTGTGTGTATGGAGTAGATGGCTTCAACGTTGGAGCTAGACGGCAAGACGCAAGGGAGTCGGCGAGCTTTGGTAGGAGACGTCCAATGGCACGCAGCAGCCATGGGAACGAAGAAGAAAGATTAACCGTTTGGCCAATGGAAAGTATGTAGGCCGCCATTGTGAAACGGGCAGCACCGAGCGTGGCAGGCCAGCTCGGGAGTGTTTGTATGTCGAGTATTATGGGCGTGGGTTGTCGGAGGGGCTCCTGGGCTGAGGCGCAAGCGATACGGGTGTTTGTATTTTCTGCTCAAGCAGTACAAGTACGAGTCGCGCGATGGTTTCGGCCAGGCATTGATGGCAGAGGAGAAGTACCGAGGACCCATGCCGACGCTTGGGGGTTATTGTTGGTATAGGGCGCGCGCGCGCACACACACACACACACACACACACGCCTAAGCTCCAGGCTTTTTGCCATGTGTCGTGCCAGGACAAGGCATGTAGTCGAGTAGGCTTTTTTGCGCGCACCCCCGGTGGCCATGAGACAGCATCCATGGCGAAGGAAGCGGCAGAGCTTGCGCAGCCCAGGGCGGGACTTGACTCTTGACCTGGCGGGCTGGCGGGCTGGCGGGCTGACTCGAGCGTCGTGTCCAAGGTGCCTGGGCCGGGACGTGTGGGCAAAAGTTATTCGTCCTACCACTAAGCCGGTATTTGGCCTACCACTTAGCCGGGGTCTGCATTAGTGCAGGCATATCTAAACTATATAGAGTTAGCACTATAATATAATAACTTAGCACTTAATTTTGTAACTAACTTAGCAACTAGATAATACCTATCTAGTATAGAAGCTTGGTGTTTTATTTTAGGCGAGCCGCAGCTACCGCTTGCCTACAGCTCCGCCTATAGAGGCTTCGCGATAGGGCTTTAAAATAGGCCTCTAGGTGCCCGTTTTGGCCACCTTGACCGCCTAGCTGTCGCGCAACATCCCTATCCTCTATACTACTTGCCTCTCTACCTAAATTTACTGCTAAACTTAGGTGGCGAAAGGCGCGATGATAATTAGGAGCCCTATTATAGTTAGCTAACGCAATCGTCGTACTACGCTAGTTATAGCTTCTTTAGTAAGTAGCTAGGAGCCTGTTTTAGGCTAATTTTTAGGCTATATAGAACACTAAAAATTAAGTAGTATAGCTAGTTTTTAAGCCTCACTTTTTTTTGCTTCTGCGACTTCTATTTTAGCTGCGCAACACTATTGAATTTTTATTAACATACTAGCTATCTTTATGCACTAGAACTTACTACAGCACAGCTATATTATAGTAAGTAATATAAAATACTGCTAATGTTTTAGCCAAGCCCACTAATGCAGACCCCTGCTAAGTGGTAGGCCAAATAGCCGCTTAGTGGTAGGACGAATAACTTTTGCCGGACGTGTGCTGTCGGCCGGAGCGGGCTGGATGGAGCGTCATAGGCGATAGGCTGGATGACGTGATATCCGAAGCTTGTGGAATCTGGCAGCGTCCCCTGGATCACCGTCTTGGCGGTGTAACCGACAGGCTGGGACGCGAAAACTAGTGGAGAAAAGCGAGCCAACCAATGGCCGCGACGCATGCATGGCGCCGTGCTGCCCACGGCCATGGGTACAAGCTTCGGCGCTAGTGCTGTACATACTTACATACAATACACCATGTCCTCGGCAGGAGAGAGGCCCTCGCCCAAGACGCGGCTCAGCTCGCAGCCCCAAGCAAGCACCCAAGTGCGTGTATGTAGGTCACCAGGCAGGCCAGCACAAGCGCCCCCTGGCCTTGGGGGCCATCACACGCCTTTGTCGGTGCCCGCTGGCCTGGGCGCATGGCAGAAACAGCATTTATTGGCGTCGCCCTCTGCTGTATACTGTATACTACTGCCACGGCCACGACGACTACACGTACGTACGTACTGCAGCACATGGTAGGTAGTGCTCCAGGGGGCCCTGGATCGAGGCCCAATCCATTCACCTGTGCGTTTCGCAGTGACGCCAGCTCGGCGCCGTCTGCTGAGACCGTTGCACGCACGCCCTCTGCCTCGCTCCATGACCGTCACACGCACCTGTAAGCACCACGGCTAATTGCGCAATCAGGGGCGTCGCATCACCAACAGCATGTGTGTGGTTGCGCGTGTGCGTGAGCGTGAGCGTGTCAGAGTGTGTCAGAGTGCATGTACTCGCAAGTACTGAGCGGCTGTGACTGCGGTGTTGGGAGAGGATACGGCCAAGAATACGGCGAATGGCCGACTTGGACTGCATGGCCAGGCGCTCTCCCACGCCCACGCATGCCAAGGGCGAGCCACCCGCACGGCATGCGGGGGACCGTCGCCCACATCCCGGCCCTGTGTCGCCCCCTTATTGCTGTAATCCGCCATGTACAGTACCTATGTGCATACTTTACATGGTGGTAATGTATGTACATGGACGAGGGGCGCGGTTGCCGTCGCATCGCATCGCATCGCGTCACCAGGGCGATCGAGTTTCCGAAGGGCGATAGTAGCTGAGCGGCTGCTGCACCTGGCTGTGTATCATCCATCATGTGCTGTGCGCGGGCGGCGGCGGCGGCGGCGGCTGGTGCTGGTGCTGGTGCCGGTGCTGGTGCCGGTGCTGGCGGGCGCTGCGTGTGCTGCTGCTGGTGCCACTGCGACCAAGTAGTACTAGCACGACGACTAACCCCCACGTGACGGCTGGGAATCGCTCCACACAGGGCACGTCCGCCGCCAGCACGTTTCCAGTGTGGCTGCGTAGCGTGCATGCAGTAATATTCGCTGCCACGCCCAGCGAGACGGGGCGTAGCCGCCGCTGACCGTCCCGAGACGTTAGGCGTGGCCGACTCGGTTACCGCATCGCGCGCCTTGAGCTGGGCCGGGGGCGCAGAAGAAGCAAGGGAGATGAGATAAGATGAGTCGGCTGGGCAGAGTCGTGGTGCTGGTGCTGCCCTGCCATGCATCCAGGGAGCGTGCACATGCCGATCAATAGTGCCTGGTGGCCACCCTCTGCCCCGTCGGCCCCCGTCTGCCCCCGTCTGCCCCCGTCTGGCCGCTTACGTACGCCGCCGCCGTCGTTGTCGTTGTTCTCTCGCGCTCGTGCTCGTGCGGCGCGCGGGCGAGGCGAGGGCGGGCAAGCGAGACACCGAGGGCGAGCACGAGCGAGACGCGGCACAGGGCTTCGCTTCGGGCATTTCTGCGTTGCGCCCCCGGCTGCCCACGTCTATGGCGTGCTCGAGTGCACAAAACACAATGCGCAGTGCATCCATGTCCGGCCTGCATGGCCTCTGTCACTGTCGCCCTGTCATTGCCGCTGCTTCTCCTTCTCTTCCTCTTTGGGGGCATGACACGAGACGCCGTCAAGCCCTGGGGTCGAGACCGGCCCGGCGTGCTGTGGGCATAGGGGCCTGTACATGTACTCGAGGCCCATGTACAAGCACTCGCACATGCACCCACCCACACACGCACATGTAGCTGTGTGTGCCATGGGCGGGCCTGGCGCGGCTGGCAGGCTGCAGCTGCAATGCCAGGACATGTACCGGATTCACTCCCGCAGGCCAGTGCTCGGCGGCTGCAGGGCTGGCGGCCTCTGCAGCTGCGGCTTGCATCACCGTGGCCCGGCCAGCTCGACGTTGCTCCGTCGTGGCTGCTAGTCGTCGTCGTGGCTAGGCGTAGTGGCAGCAGTAGCTGGGCGTTCGTGCCGTGCAGTGGGGGAGGGAGGGAGCCCATGGTCTGTCGTCCGGTGCTGGCGGTGCTGCTGCTCCAGTGCGTCGGCCTGGGGGTTGAGGATGGAGTGGACGCCGAGAGAACTGCCATGTCTGCCGGAAGGAGTGGGCGGTGTCATGGAGAGCTGGCGAAGAGGCGGCAGGGACACGGGAGGGTTGGCCGGAAGCTCTCGTGGGCTCCTGTAGGGAGGTTGCATGGGTGGATATGACTGAACAGGCGACATGTGAGGCGTTGTTTGGCCTGGCCGCAGAGGCCCGGCGGGTAGACTGGACGTGGAAGAGACGTCGTCACAGCCCCTTTGGCTGCCCTGAGCCAACCATGGGCGATCTGGCTTGGGGTCGTTGGTGTAGGGCGGAGTCAAGGACGACTGGAAGCGGCGGGGGAACAGCGGGTGGGGAGCTTCAACAGCGGGGAGGGTTTGAGTAGCCAGCGTGACGGCAGCGGAGGTTGGGTCGCCCGGAAGACAACCCACGCGATTTCAACGAGGAGAAGCAGGCGATGGAGGAGCAAGACGGGGCGATGCAGAGTTTCCTAGTAGGGCAGCTGGAGCAAGGTGGGGCGGGCTGGCCAGGCTGGATTGGGGATAAGCGACCAAGGCTGCAGGAACCAGGCGAGGCGGCGGAGGGACGGCGGTGGCCAGGAGGGGAGCGATGAGGGGCGTTAGGGGGGGGGTGCGTGGAGGAAGGGAGGCTTGGAGGGCTGGAGGGAGGTATAGTATAAATGGACGAGTGAATGGAGTGAGGCAGCGGGACAAGGACGACCAGGGCACGGGGGATAAAGGTATTTGGAGGTTGGAGGTCAGTCAGTGACGGGCACCCGCAATCGGCGAGGGCGCGCCAGGGCCAGGTGTGATATAAGAATTTGCGGTGAAATGGCCGGAGGATCGCTGGCCGGGCAGCAAACCATCGAGGGAGCCTTGCTGGCCCCTGTGTCGCGCCTGGTCCATGTTGCGCGAAGAAAAAGGGCAGCCAGCAACTCCATCATGCCCTGTCGGCGCCTTTTGGCAACGCGCTAGGCCCGTCCCCACTCTGCGCCCCTCCACCACCACGACCACGACCACCATCACCACTCCACTCCACCACCACCCCTCCTTCGACCCCCCCCCCGACCCCCCTGTGCGCTGCCGGGATATGCTGGCAGGCCATGCACGCACGTCTTGAGCGCTACTGCACAGTCATGGACACGATGCGCGGAAGCACCAGCAACTCCAACACCAGCCAAATGGCCCCAGGCGTAGCCTTTCTCGCCTCGACTCGCCCTCGCCCGTCGAGACGCAGCACTCACAGAGCCTGCCCTCGATCAGCCGGCCCAACAGCGTCGACTCGGTACGCTCGACCTCGGAAGAGCAAGTCCTCCCCAGGCTGTTCCAACCTCCAGGAAGACCTCCCATGCGGCCCAGCTTGCACGACAAAGGCATCAAGACGCACAGCATCAGCAGGCTGAACCCGCCCACAGGCACGATAGATGCACACCAGTCGCCCTTTCTGACGGCAAGCACACGCCCGTCCGAGGTGACGACGCCGCACCCGGCACTACCTACACCACCTGCTGCAGGCCGAACCCACTACTTTCCGCCCACGGCACCAACTCCGCCCCCGAACATGGGTCGCACAGACATGCATCGACCCAGCATCAACTTTCCCCAGTCGGGCAGTGCAAGTCCCATTGCCCAGTACTCTCCCTACAGCCAGCCGGCTTCGGTGGCGTCTACGCAGTACGACAACCACAGCACCCAAGGACAATATGGCCCTGGTGTTGCTCCCATGCACGATTCGCGCCAAGGATCTGCCTCGATTGATGGCGACCGCACCAGCATGATCGCCATGGCACCGTCGAGTCAAAGCAGCATCCAGCTCATGACCATCAAAAGCCAGCACGGGCCCCCCCGCCAAATTCCCGTGGAGACGCAGACAGCCTCCAAAGGCGCTGACGAGAAGAGGAGACGCAATGCGGGCGCATCGGCACGCTTCCGTGCGCGACGAAAGGAAAAGGAACGAGAGGCTTCGATGAGCATCTCGCGGTTGGAGCAAAGTGTGCGTGATGCCAACGAGGATGCTGCCTTTTACCGCGACGAGCGAGACTACTGGAGATCGTTGGCACTGCAGACGAACCCCGAAAGAAACCATCCTCGGCCACAGTCACCGCGCTTGAGGCGCGCATCAGCAGCGCCGTCGCGTGCGCCGTCGTCGACGACGGGCCATGGCTCCGAGGCGTCTTTTGACGGGTACGAAGAAGAGTCGCGCGAAGAAGAGCAGCGCAACGTGCGAAGGAGAACGGGCAGCTATCATCCTGCGCTGGGATCGCACCAGATGGACGGGGCTGCCTCGGGCCACGACACGCACTCTTATCCCATGGCGACGTTTGCGCCCACGGGGCACACGTCTGGGCAGAATAGCCAGAACCACGAGTCCCCGCAGCATGCGTCAGGACAAGCGTCAGGTCTTCAGCATCCATCGCCGGAACGGCCCATGTACCGCGACCCGTTTACGCCGGGCGGCGGTCGTTATGAGCACCGGGCCTGGAGTTCGGAGCAGGCCAAGGGCCGGACGCATTGATAGACTGGGCGTTTGTTGTGATTGTGACTTGTTGCGTGGGTGGATGTTTCAGGCTTCTGCAGTTTTGCAAGCACTAATCTGCGTTATACCCCTAGCATACTTTTTTTGTTTCTCTTTATCATTCCCATGACGTGCACTTGGGCACGAACCAGCATACTCTAGATTATAGGGCCCTCACGGGCGAATCCTGCCATCACCAAAGACAAGAAGACTTGAAGAAGAAGAAGAAGAAGAAGAAGAAATCAAATACTTTTTTTTTAGCATGGACTGCCTGCTGTTGAGTGCGTGGTGGCGATGCGAGTGAGGCTCTCTTGCGGGCCAGCATGAGAGGGGCGGTTGGGGTGGCGGGCCATGTGCGATGATCAGATAACGGTGTTTGGCGTGTGTATAGTGGAGGGGATTCAGGCCATGATTGGCCAGGAGCGTGGGTCGCAGCACATGGCACGGCGACGGGTGTGGTAATTTGATTTGTGACCATCATGACGCCACTTTGAGGGGGGGTGAAGTTGATGGCGCAACACCTGACACGTCTAGGTCAGCGCGCGGCGAGGGCAGGATGGGGCGAGCCAGGATGCGGTTGTGGCAGCAATGTGACGACGGCAGCATCTGAGATTGACTGCGTAAGACGCGGCGGCGGCGGCGGCGGGCATGCAGAGCCAGGCAGGGCGACGGGCGACGGGCGACGGGCAACAGCGTAGCACGAGGCAAAGTGTAAAATGTGCATTGAGCGCGACGGAGCACAAATCAGGCCAGCGGCGGTGCCAAGACGTGGCCGCTAAACGCTTCTGCGCACTACCAACGGCCTCACCTGCTTAGCCTGCCTGTTTCCCGCTGCTCCCCGACACCACCACGACACGCCTAACAGCATCAGCACAGGCGAACGCGTCTTCGGCTCACCAACACGTCTCCCGTTCACTCGCAGCTCGAGCTCGTGCTCGTGCTCGTGCTCGCACTCCCCTGCCACGCGCTAGGTTTGCGCTCCGTGGTGTAGATAGTTCTCAGCGGCGCGTCCCCGCCTCGCACGCTATGCCGCCTTGGACGCGGAGACGCCTGCCGCGCCCAGATGGTCTGCTAACCCTTTTGCACGCAACACAGACACAGACATACACACTCACACACACTCACTCACTCACACACCCACACCCACACCCACACCCACACAGATGCCTGCGCCGCTTGACTCTGGCATATGATCGGCGCCGCCCGCCCGTCCTCGCCCACTCCACACCCACGACACGACACGACACGACACGCCACGACACGTACTGAGACAGGCGCACGCCGTGCCTCGACTACACGTGTCTGCCTGCCCGTCCGTTTGTGTCACTATGCCATTTACTCCAACCCCCCCCCCCCTCTCCACCACGCTCTCCTCGTACGATCCACCAGAGCGGTCAGAAGCCACATGACCATGCGCTTGGAAACCAGCCAAGAGCGGCCCATGGCCAAACTTTAAAAAAAAAATCACACTCGCTGCGCTGCCTGCCCGCCGGAGTCTGCTCCGGCCGCGCTCAATCGGACGCTGCGACGAGGGCGGTTGCTCGGCTCATTCCATCGCTCAGACCGGAACTTTAACTCGACACTCGTCGTGGTAGGGTGGGTGTGTGTGTGTGCACGCGCACTCGACCATCATGGCCTTGACTTGACTGGTATCGTCTGGTCTGCTCTTGTCCTGCCTTGTCCTGCCTTGTCAGACGGGCACCGGTTGCTACCAGTACCAGGTTCCAACAAATCTCCGTCGTGGTAGCTACTGGTGGTGCATCCCTGCTAGCAATCGCTCCAAACCTCCAAGGTGGTGTGGAACTTGCACAGTTGACCACTCTACAACAGCGTAGTGCGCGCGTAGCTCCAACTCTGCTGGAAAACGGTCCGAATAACAATGTCAACTTAGCCGTCCCAGGAACCCCAGGCCAAGTGTCAACTCTAGGGCCATGATTCGCATTCGTATCCAGCACATGGCGATTGCAGTGCCCTGTGCCGTGTCTGCCCTCCTTCTCACATCGTACAGATGACTGCACGCGGGCTGCGCTTATGAGGCGGTCAATACTGTCAATGTATCGCCTTGGTCTTGATGCAGCGCTGGCCCTACCACAAGCCTCGACACTACAAAGCATATCCCCATCTAGACATGCATCTGTCGCAACCATGTCCATGGACCCTCTTCCTGGCCCTACTTATACCCCAACTACCGAATTGGATCAAATATTGCATGCCATGGCCGTGCACCTCCCCGACCCTGCTTGCGCTCTGGACCTTTGCATGGAGCCTAGTCATCGCACGGCTGCGCCCATGCATGACATGCCTACGTTGATCGAACCCTCGTCGTCATCGG